ACCTGAGCAATCCAAGCTGAGCCAATGGAGCATCATTCTCAAACATATTCAGAACGTGCTGAACAATGCTGAGGTGGAAAGCCGCAAGCTGGGCGGATACCTAGGATGTAACCACATCGGTGCGACCGAAGAGAAGATCGGCATCCAAGAAGCTTCGCTCTTCCTCTACCTCTTCTTCCTCCTCCTGTGGGTATTGAAAGGCCTCTTCCGGAAGGCCGTATGCTCTGTCGACCGGGTGATCTATAGGCGGAAGCTCCATCTCTTCCTCTTCGTCTTCAGGATCCTCTGTGATCGGTGAGCGCACTCTGCCATGTTTTCCTAGCCCCCGCTTGGGGGTTGTCACGTGGAATTGGCGTGCTCTATGCGGTGCTTGGGGGGGATCACAGGACACAGGCGTGCGCGTATGCGTGTGCCAAGGGGCTTCTCTCCCAATCTGGAGTCTCCGCTTTTCAGGAGACGCATGCGTGCCCGGACGATCTGGTGACTCGTCGGACGGAAGTCACATCGGATCCTCATTTTGGGTATTTTCGCTCTGCTGCGGGGGCATGCGGAGTTATTTTGAGAGCTCCCAAGAAGTTGGAGCAACGATACACACACGTGCGCTGTGCATCGCGTGCTCGTTCCTGGCCGTCTCCATCGCATCCCCCTCATTTCTGAATCTCAGTGTCTACGAGTATTCCGCGTTCATTTTTTCCAGGTGTCCCAGAAGCTAAGGTGGCGCAGCAAATGGACAACATTGGACGACATGGAAGCGCTACTCGCTCCCGCTTTCGTCGCGCACCATCGTCTTGATTGGCGATTTCAACTTAGCTGACGTAGGGGAACCCCGCTTGCGGACCCACGATGGCGTCGAGCGCGTGGGGAATTGCCGTCTGAGTCTTGCCCCCCCCCACCAGAGGTTTCCGAGTTTTCCTGAGTTCGCCTAACCTACCGACACCTACCGGCGAGAGGCTGATGCGACGGTGGCGCTGTCGCGGATCGACCAAATCTGCGCGAATATGCGGACCGCCGACTTTCACCTCCATTCTCAATCCAGTATTGTTTTATGACTTGTTATTCAGACTTTCAGAAATCTGTCCGACCATGCCCCGACTTTCCTAGCCCTCTACGCGATTCTGGATATACTTAAGTTTCCGCAGAGTGTTGCTAAGCATCGCAGGTTCCAGTAGGTCGTGGACCAGGTCTCATGCCCAAAAGTTCTCGACCAGAATTCCCTTCATAGTGTCTCGGAAATCCAAGATGGGTTCCGTCGATGAAGTGATCGCCCGGCGTCGGAGACAGTGTCGTGCTGCACAGGACTGCTAAGAGCTTCCAGGGATGCGTTAGTAGAAGTCAGCAGGAATGTTGTCCAGGCTTATCAGGAGTTTGACCAGTTCTATTCCGTCGTCCACGACAGGTGGGACGATCTGCTTGGATTTCAATCTACTAAGTCGTCAGATGCGTGAAGTTTTGGATGAGTATGAAACGAACGTGCCGGGCAGTGAATTGCCCCCTGCTCTGGAAGGAATTCATGGCGAAAGAGTGCCGCGGCCGAGTGAAACATGGCGGGCCTCGAAGAGGCAGGTGCTGCTCTCTGCCATCGTTGACCAGAACGGACATGCGCATCGAGTGCCTGAAGAACGCGCGCGCTTGCTCGTTCCTGGTCTTCTGTATTTCAATCTCGAGAAATCTGCCAGCGCGCGCGCTCGGAAGTATCTGGAGTCAATCCCCCGGCTGGAGCTAGATGGCTGCCAGTGCGCCGCTAGAGACCGCCACAGGTACCCATGGGCCATCAGCCCAGATAAGTTTAGACATGCCCAGTGGGCCCAGTGGGCCCCCCTACTCGGCGTGGAAATGCGGAATGGCGCTTTGATAGATCCCAGTTGCCTTGTCTTCCTGCCGAAGGGCGATGCTCCCGAGAAGTGGCCGAAAATGCCCGGAGTAAGCCCGCCCATTGGCCTTCAGCAGTGCCGACAAAAAAATGCGTGGCCTCTCGCGTTGCCTCCCCGTTGAAACGCGCGGTGCGTAAAAAACTTCGCCCGTGTCGGCGTGGGTTCATCGGGTGGGCGGGGGCGTGGTAAACGACGCTCGTTTTGGAGTTTGAGGGGTCCGCGGCGTCTCGGGGGGTTCTCTGTCGGGGAGGCAGTCGTGGAGGTGCGACCTTCGACCTGGCGGCGGCCTCCCCGTGCATCTCAATCTTCTGGCTCGTTGACGCGCTGGGGGCGCGCCGGTTGGCCGCGGCAGTTCGCGGCGCGCTCCGTGCTGCGTCTCGGCGGCGACGATGGGGGCGAATAGCCCAGGGGCGGGCGTTGCGCGTATTCGCCCGGGGCCTTTTCGAATACCTAGATCATCGGCGCACCTGAAGACATGTATTGTTCTCCCTTGGGCCATTCGCCCCTATCGTCGCCTCTGATGTCTGAGCGCAGGTCCACTGCCTCACTCAGTTCGCGGCGAGGCTATGCCCTGGTTTCGAAGCGCAGCGTGGCGTGCGTCAGGGGCGCCCCCTCAGCGCGGCGTTGTTCGCCTTCGCTTCGACCCGCTGCCCAGGGCGACGGGGGGGTTCAGCTCTGTGTGCCTGTCGTGCCCTTGGCCTTCGCGGATGATTTGTTGGTTGCGGTCTCACCGTATTTCGGGCGCTTCCCCGGCCCTGGCGGCATTTCTCGTCTACGGGCCCTGCTCTGGTCTCGTATTGAGCAATCGGATATTCGAACTTGTTTGATTCAAGAAGACGGGGATGGGGGGGAGGAGGTGGCGAGGATGTTCCAGGGGATCGGCGTCGATGTCGCGGAGTTCGCTGTCACCGATCTGGCGGTCGCTCTTGGCGCCCATGTCGGACGAGATGCTAGGGCTCAGGCTTGGAGAGCCGCCGGCAGTGAAGTCCGCGCCCGTGCGAGCGAACTCAAGCCGCTAGGGCTCGGGATAATCGGATCCATCGTTGCATGCAACCGATGTCGCGCCCCCATCTCCTCCCATATTGCCCAGTGTAATCTGATGGCCAAGTCGGTCTATGAAAGTGTACAGCAGAGCTGCCGGTGGCCCGCGAGATCGCCCCCTTCATTCCTCCTCCCCGCAGGCGCTTTCTAGATTCCTTGGAGCTGGGGTTCCCAGTCGAATGCGGGAGTTTGAAGGTGATCGCGTGGGCCGCGATGTTGCGCGCCGCCATCTGCTCCGAGCCCTCTGCGGCGGTGAGGGGCGTGTTTGAGCTCGAGATCGATGGCGGCCTCTGCAATTTATCTTGGAGGCTCAGCTCGTATTTTTGACAGACCCTGTCTTCTGCAATATGTATTGTCTGTAGGTATGGTTCTGCATCCAATTTGCCATACGTAGGATGCATACGCAACGTGAAGATGATACTCTATGTTCGGTTGGATGCGTTCATCGCGCCCCGTCTCATCAAGCTTCCTGGACCTCCCCCCTGAAGCGGTTGACCTCGCCATCTTGTGTATGCGTGTCATGCAGATGCGTAAGTTCCTGCCTGCGTCATCGTCCGTGCCATCAAATCGACGTCCACTGCGTGGAACACTCCCCGTCGCAACCGACAGCAACACATTCCTGGTGCATGTGGAAGTGGAGTTCGAGAGTCTCACGCTATGGAACACTCTGTGGTTTGTCCTGCGTTAGGGCCTACTTGTAGACATCTTCACCCTCGTCTTCCCTTGAGCTGGGGCACGGATGCACGCGGCGCCATTGTCCTTCATTTGTTTGGTATATCTTGTCTTGTCTCTGCTACAGCCGCTGCGCCTGCTTCCCCGCCCTCCGCCCCCTCATCTCCCGCGCTACTGTGATCGACGCTGTTCTTGTGGTTTTCCAGCCCCTCAGGAGCCATCGAGCCTTTCCCCTAATGTCACGTGTGGTGTTGCTGGTAAGCCGAAGGTGTGCTGCGAGGAGGTCGAGGTTCGTTCGCTTGGTTTTCTTCGCCGCCAGCCCCTTTGTGCGTTTCGTCCTTGCGTTCCCTTTCCTCGCCTTTTTTCCCTGCTTCGGGTTCTTCCTTGGCTCTGTGGGTTCAGGCCTCTGGTTGTTGCTATGGGGCTTGGACTAGAGTCGGCGCGGCGGTCGGCAGGAAGACTGTGTCCTTTCAGGGGTTTCACTCCTCCACCTCCTCCTCCTCCTCCGCCTGTCCTTGCGCCCCCAGCACCGCCTTCCTCTTTCTTTTCCTCCAGTCGCTCTTCCTTCCACCTTCGCCTCCCCCTCCTCCTCGTCCATCTTTGTCCTGACAACTTACAGGTCAGCCCTTCCTGTCGCACCCCCAGACGTGTCGGTGGGACCGGTTGTGTATTTCGCCAAGGACGTCCTCACCATTTGCGGCACCGAAGCCTGCAAAATGTAACGGTTTCGCGGATAGGGGCAGGGCCGTTTTCAAAATCTGGCTCTCGCCCTCGCGTCGCGCGCGTTCGGTTTCAAAATTTACAGCAGCTTCGCGGATGGAGGGCGGGGGGCTTTCAGTCTGTGGTTCTCGCCCAACGCCGCGCGCGTTCGTTTTGAAAGTTTGCAAGTTGTTCACGGATAGAGGGCGGATGGTTGCAACATGTGTCCTTCGCTTTAACGCAGCGACAATTTGTTTTCAAAGCCTGCAGTCGGTTCGCAGATGGAGGGCGGCTCTTTTTCAAATGACGTTTCTCGCCTTAGCGCCGCGCGCATTTATTTTAACAGTTTGCAGGAGCTGCGCGGATTGATGGCGGGAGGTTTTCAAATTCTGTCTCTCGCCTTAGCGCCGCGCGCATTTGTATCAAACAGTTTCGAGGATGGAGGGCGGTTCCTTTTCAAATTGTGTCTCTCGCCTCAGCACCGCGCGCACGCGTCTCAAGCGCTTGCAACCGTATCATGAGTTCGTATGGCTGAAACCCAGTGAAAAGGTGCTCTGGTACGATTTACGAGCGTCAGGGTGCAACAATCACGCTGGCTCGCTGTCTTGCAGCCCCAAGAATGGTGTTCTGGCAAGATCTAGGGTTGTCGGGATGCAGCCGTCTCGCTGATTCGCGGTGCGGAGATCCCAGGAAACGTGTTGTGCACGATTGCGCATCCTCAAATCGTTGTCATCCAGTGGTCCGTAGCCGTTTTGGCTTAAGACCACGCTCTTCTCGTGCACGCAATCGTGCGTTTGGCGCCATGAGCAAGAGTGTCGTGGAATACAGCAGGTCTGGAAGCGATGGTGAGTCAGATGACGACGACGACGGTACTGACGCCTCTTCAGGATCAGGCGGTGCACCGGTACGAATACTTCTCCTCGCGTTTATGTTCATGTTCCAGGGCTACGGCTGCATGGTCGGAAATCCACAGCATGCGCTGAAAATGAAGCTGGATCCTGACGGGACTTGGGGCGAGCAGGAGTCCAAGAATTTTCAAGATGCGACCGCTTCGTTTCAGCTCGCGAAGCTGTTCATGCGGATCGGGCAGATCGCTTTCTTGGTGTTCTTGCGGCCGAACGGAATTGTGTTTTTGTCGTACATCGTTATGTTTGTCGCGCTCCTCACGCCTCTGATTGGAGTCTGGGGCATGGGTATCGACAGCCTCTGGATTGTCTACGTCCAGTACAGCTTGGGTGGTGCCGCGGTTGGCATGTTCGAGGGCACGTTCTTGACTGCCATCAGCTCCCTCGGTAAGGACACCAAGACCTTCACCATCATGGGGGCGCCGCTGGGCTTCGCCGTGAACAATGTGATCCTTGGGCTTCTGTCGCAGTGCGGCATGCCCGCGCAGCTGTACTACGTCTACAACGCCGCGTGCGTACCGATCGCTGCGGCCATCTTCTACCACTTCGCGCCCCGCGAGGACGGAAAGAGCGACGGCAAAGGCTGCCAGGTGTTCGCCAACTCTATGAGGCACGCCCGCGCATGGCTGCCCATGATGATCCCCTGGCTGGTCGCCAAGTTTATCGGCAACTTCGTCCTGGAAGACGGCTTCCCGCTGCTCTTCAACACCTTCAATACGAGCCAGGTGCCCATGTGGGGGGGCCCAGACAGTACGCGGACAATCTCCTTCGCGCTGTACGCTTCGCTGTACTGGTTTCCCATGATGGCACTGGGCGACACGATCAGCAGGCGAGTGCCGAACTGGATCTCCATCGACAGCGGCTCGCAGATCTTCCTGTGTCTGGCCTCCAGCGTAGTCATGTGCGTCGGCGGAGAGGCGCTGGACTTCCTGCTGATTCCTATCGTCACCGGGATCGCGGCGTTCATCTCGAACTTCGGGAATGGCTTCATCTATGGCCTGTCCGCGAAGTTCATCGACCTCTATGTGTCCGAGGAGCACCGCTACGCCGCCTACAATTTGTGGTGTTTCGCTGGCGATCTCGGCGGCTACGCAGGCCAGAGCAGCTTCTCCGTGACGCTCGCGCACCAGGCCTGCGAGGGCCACCACTACGAGTACGTCTGCCACCTGCAACAAGCCACCGCCCCGAGCGCAAGGTGATTTTTCGAGGGCGGCGGCGGTGTTCAGTGGTGCAAGAGGTGGCGCGCGCCCGCGGGAGACAGGGCGGGGAGCGGCAGGGTAGTGTTGATCAGGAAAACGCTCAAGCGATGGGGGGAGAGGGAGAGTGCGCGGGGGGCGCAGTTGAAGTCTATCGGGACGCTCATTGAATAGCGGTCCGCAAACCCGGACTCCAGAACAAGCATCCCTAACGTCCAATTACCAGTTACTCGCATTATCATTGGTGCCTCTGCTGCAAAGCAGCAGGGCTTTGTAATTGGAGTTCCAGTATCACCAAGTGGGACTCGGCGCTCCGCGAGCGGCTGAAACAAATAAATCTTTGTCTTCCAATGTGGCATTCCCCGCAGTGTAAATCAATTCTTGTAGGGACCCGTGGAAAGGAGGGTTGGAGGGAGGGTTTATGCCAACATCGTTGGTACGTCTTGTGTTTACAGTGTTCTCCTCCTCCTCCTCCTCTTCCTCCTCCACCACCTCCTCCTCCTCTCCTCCTCCTCCTCCTCCTCCTCCTCCTCCTCCCCTTCTCCTCGTCCCCGCTTTCCTCCTCGTGCCTTATCCATCGTTCACCCTTTTTCTTCTCCTCGTTGGTATCCTCCTCGTCTTCCTTCCTGTCCTTCGCCGCCTCCTGCCCATTCTCCCCCCTCCAATCCCTCCCCCCGTCGTCGATGTCCTGCCCCCTCCCTCCCTCCCTCCTCCTTTCTTGCTTCTTTCCCTCTTTCATCCCGTTGGAGGGGTTGGAATGGAAGGTGCAATCGAACACATCACCTCCAAGAAGAAGCGGACATTCAGCACCGCGACCCAGCGATTCGTGACCACCGAGGCCAGCAGAGCGTGGAAGGAACTAGCGGAGGATGAAGGGAGCAGGGTGGGGTAAGAGGAATGGTAGTCGCTCGCAGGAGGAAGGGGAGCAGGGTCGAATGGAGGGAGGAGTTGGATAAGGATGAGGAGGAGGAGAAGGAGAAGGAGGAGACGGAGGAGGAGGAGGAGGAGGAGGAGGAGGAGGAGGAGGAGGAGGAGGAGGAGGAGGAGGAGGAGGATGAGGAGGAGGAGGAGGAGGAGGGGGAGGGGGGGATGAGGAGGATGAGGAGGAGGAGGAGGACCAGTGTAAACGCAAGAGGCATCAATGATGTTGGAATAAACCTTCCCTCCAAGCTTCCTCTCCATAGGCCCCTACAACGGTTCTTTTCCAGTGAGGGAACTGCCTTGTTGGAAGACACCGTTTGAAGACCCTGAAGCATGCCCCATAAATTGTTCTCGGAGTTCCAATGCCACGGATCAACCTGACTGTTGCATGTTGACGATCCTGAATCGTGCCAGAACGCCGTTCCTAGGACATCAACACAAGGAATCAGCGTAATTGTTGCGCCCGCGTAATCCTGAATCATTGTAAACACCATTTTTGGTACGTTGATCATGGGAGTCCGTGAAACTCTTGTACCTTCTTAAAAGGAATGTGCGCGGCGCTAATGCGAGAGCCACATGTTGAAAAGGTGCCGCCTTCAATCCGTGAAACCTTTGCAATTTGTTAAAACGAGTGTGCGCCGCGCCAAGGCGAGAGCCACATTTTGAAAACGACCCTCCCAATGTTGAAAACGATTGTGCGCCGCGCTAAGAGGAGAGCCATGTTTTGAAAACGACCCGCCCTCAACCCGTGAAACTCTTTCAATTTTTTAGAAATAGATGTGTGCGCCGCGATAAGGCGAGAGCCACATTTTGAAAACGACCCGCCCTCCATTTGTGAAGCTGTTGCCACTGTTTAAGCGTCAGAGACATACATGGTGAGGAAGTCTCAGGCGAAACGCCCGGCCAGAGAACTGGCCTCGAGGTGCGACAGGGAGAAGTTATTTATAGGGAAGAGGAATTGAGGAGGAGGAGGAGGCGGTGGAGGAGGAGCAGGAGGAGGAGGAGGAGGAGGAGGAGGAGGAGGAGGAGGGAGGAGGAGGAGGAGGCGACAGCACGACGACTTGGCAGGCGACCGTGGGCGACTCGCGCCGCCCTCGCCCGCCTGGCCGCCTCGTCGGCCCGCAGGGCGGCCGCCCGGCCGGCGCGGTCCGTGCAGGGCGGGGGCCTTGCGCAGGCTGCGCAGGGCTGCGCAGGGCTGCGCAGGGCCACGCTGGATTCCGTGTTCCCCTGGGCGGTCTGCGGGTGTGGGTGTGTGGGCGTCTCGACTCCTCTCCCGCTGACAGGAGGAGGAGGAGGAGGATGAGGAGGAGGAGGAGGAGGAGGAGGAGGAGGAGGAGGGAGGAGGAGGAGGAGGGAGGAGGAGGAGGAGGAGGAGGAGGAGGAGAGGAGGAGGGGGAGGAGGAGGAGGAGGAGGAGGAGGAGGAGGAGGAGGAGGAGGAGGAGGAGGAGGAGGAGGAGGTACTGGAGTTACTGGTTTGCGGACCACTGTCCAGGCCTCTCAAAGGCCCCAGCGAAAGCAAAAACCAGATGCCCACGAGCTGTAAGACAAAATGCTGCCAGAGGGAGGGCTTCCCGCCACAAAGGAAAGCAGCAACAGAAAGGGGGGCCCCCGACGGGCCCCACGGTGCCTCGGCCGCCCGATGGCGGGCGCGGGTCCCGTGTGGCGACGTTGCCGTCAGGGGGCAGGGGGGCAGGCCTGCGGGCGGGACCTGCCTTCCAGCGACGACTGGGCGACGGCGACTCCCAGCCTATCCCGCTCCGCAGTGGCCAGGATTGGCCGAGGCGGCCCTTCCCTTCCAGGGGATTGACCGCGACTCAGCCTCGCGAGATTCTCCACTCCCTTCGGGGTTTCCCCGCAGCATCTCCCTCTCAGGGAGCGGGGATCGATCGTGCAGTAATGCCATTCATGAACCTCAGCAGCAGCTCTCCTCGCGGCATCGGGAGCAGAAGGGCAGCTGGAAACGGACAGTGGCTGCGGAGGGCCGCTGCATGCTATCCCACAGAACTCACCCAGCGGAGCGTCGGCGCCAGGCTTTCAGGATGGCCATGTGGTCCGTGACGAACGCAAACGGGCCCGGGACCTCTTGCAGCGCAATCGAAAAAAGCAAACACTTCCGGCCTGGGGACCGTCTGTTTATCCCCTGGAAGCGGTTTGCAGACAGCCACCGCGAGGGGAAAGTCACCATCTTTGTGCACTAAGGAGGCGATCGCAGATCCACATCTGCGTCGGCGGGGGTCGTCGCTATTACTCACCCCTGAGCCGTCGCCGAACACATACACGTGCCCTCGAAAAAGGCGCCGCGAAAAGTCCTCGGGACCCCCAAATCTTTACTCGAGTCCTCGAATTACCTCGTCGTCGTACTCAGTGTGGGTGAGGGCACGAGGAAGGAGGCCCCGCAGCCAACGATTCGGCTCAATGTCACATCTCGCAACGGCCAAAGGAAGCAACGCTTGCGACAACGAAAAATCCGCATGCTTACAATTCTTCTCACATGTCCAGATGCGATGCATCAGCGTTTCGGGCTCTTTCCCGCAGCGGACGCACACAGGGTCAGCCAGGTAGCCCTCGTCGACGAATCTCTGTCGTGTCCACTGGCCGCCGCTGACCACAGTGACACTAGTAGCTGCAAGCTCAAGCCGCCGTTGTTCTCGCGTGACCTGATACAAGACGCCACCAGCCTCGAGCCCTTGTCCAGCTTCGTGCTTGGCAGCAGCCGCCCAGAGATGTCCCCTGATATCCGCTCCCACATCATCCAGCAGCTGTTGGAAAGACGCCGCGCCTGAAAAGTTGTCATCGTGCTCGCATGGAATTATCCACTGGTCCACCAGGTCGTCATCGTACGGTGTAGGTCTCAGCCACGACGTCGCAGCAACAGGGTCCCAGCCAATGTCCATCAGTGTAGCTTGCAGCGCCGAGATCGGGCCCCTCACCGTGCTCCGTCGTCTCGCAACCGATGTCCTCAACCTCCTGCGGATCCGTTCCCAAGACCTGATGGCACGCTCATGAGCTTCAGGATGTCGTTGACACAATGCAATCCACTCCTTTACAACCTGCATCGGCACCTCAACCGCGGGGTCCAGCATCGACTCGTCGCACCAAATCGTCGTAGTGAAGCATCGCCTCGCAGCCTTGCCTCCCGCCACACGTCCTGCTTGCCGCCGTAGTTGAAGTGCCGTCCTTTTGCCCATGCCGAGCGTGTCGTGCCCGTAGAGCGCCCGCGGAACCGCGCCAGCACTCCAGAGACCACGCGCTATCTTCTTCAGGGCACTCACTCGTCGTAAACGTCGCAGCTCTCCAGTTCTCACCATCGCCCCCTCGTTCGCTGTGCTTGCTCTGCCGTAGTCCTCCTGCCGGCTGCCATGTCCAATCCCAGATCAGCATCTGTGGCCGCCTAGGGATGCTCCCAGGAGTTGCCGCCGAAGTGAGAGTGCTGTGCCAACCCCCTGGGGCGCGGAGGTACCCTCGCCTCGCGCCTCGCAGCCTGGGTTCTTCTCCTCCTCCTCCTCTTCCTTCTCCTCCTCCTTCTCCTCCTCCTCCTCCTCCTCCTCCTCCTCCTCCCCCTCCTTATCCTCCTTCTCCAGACCGATGGCGTCGCGCAGCTCGCGCCGTTGCTGCACTGTTCGAGCCGATCAGCACAGCCTTGGGCGAACTACTGACCGTGCGCTGATCTTCCCGACCTTTCTTGGGGTCTGAGGCTAAGTCCATCATTGCACGCTGGTCGTTGAAAGTAGGTATTTCTGGATTCCCAGATCCCAATCTACTTCGAGCGCCTTCCTACTTCAAGGATCGACACGCTCTTGCTGTGTTCTGTTATTCTCCGGGGGGGCCTGGACCCAATCAACTTAATCCGCCTTCCTACTTCATGTGTTTACCTACTTCTTCCGACCGACTTGTAACTCTCCCACCGAAGCACGACTACCTTAACACCTCGCCGTCGTGCCATCCACAAGAGTCCCGAGGCCCGCGCCAGGAGAACGCCCGTGAACAAAATCCCGAATCGGGTGCAGAAACAGTTTAGCCAGTCCGACTCCTCTCGGTGGTCCCGCAACAATCGACCGCGTAGGCAAGACCCGTCTGCTCAACACTGGCCTCTCCTGCAAATACCTCGGTGCCAAAAATAATTGCACTTCCAGTGAAATCAACGCTGCTGGGTAGCCCGCGCGACGAGCAATGCGCATGAACGTCAGCAACGAAACCGTACCAGATAACTTCTCGATGTCCAGCAGTAAGGTCAGGGAAGTCACGCCGAGCTCCACTCCAGATTCATCAAGGCACGCACGTAAAAGTCCAGCCCGCAACGCCGAAGAGCCTTTGATGGCGTTGTCCCAGTGGTCCGTGAGGCCGTCTGACCAGGATTCACTCAGAGTCGCACGCGCCTTGCTCCAAGCCTTCGGCATCAGAGGTACCATTCCCAGAACGCAGTCTCCCCCCTCTGGGCTTACCCGCCAACGCGCAATGTGTAAGTGAACATTGTCTCGGCCAAGTACATTGCTCCTCGTTGTATCTGGTGATCTCCGTAAACCACTCTCTGGCTTGAACTGGTGATCGGCGAACCACCCCAGGGCCAATGTCGTCGAACCCCATCGCCTTCGCGTCACTCGCGGAAGTGAGGATCGTGTCAATCTGATCCACCGTCAGCTCAGGCAAGTCCTCCTCCTGCGCCCCCTTCCGTAACTGTGCCAGGTACGCCATCAGTCGGCCCGTGGTGTCGACGGGATCCTTCCAGATGCCCTCCCACAGCTGCGCCTTGTGTTCCATGACTGTGTCGGGGTCCGCCACCTGCCTCTCCAAGTTGATCGCCAGCTCGAGCCGCGTCTCCGCCTTGTCTTTCGCATGTCTGTGTAGTGCGCCTGGTTTCGATGACCACATCTGCCTCGCCCATCGCGTAAACTGCTGGCGTCGTGCGGTGAAGCCAC